CTAGTCATCAACCAACCAACATCGAACCTTGCTCTTTGGGGCCTCCCGGGGGTGCTGAATGATGCTTAAAAAGAATTTTAATGACCACAATGTAAGCTTTAACCCTCAAATACTGCGAAGTTTATTTTTCAAAAATACCAAACAGATCATGCAATTTAGCCATGCCTCATTTTGCTCTATTTGTTCTTTTTTAGCCCTGTTTTTGCAAGGGCTGAATCTGTGAGAAGTCTTCTTCGCTGCTTTTGTGGCAGACTACAGCGCCACCTACAGGCCTGGCATATGTACTACAGCGTCTCCAACCCTTTCGAATGGCAATGGCCGTGGCTGTCTCCCACTGATAGGTGGAGGGTTGGCCATATAGACGGAGCTCCTCGTTCCTGACGTCAGAGAATTTTCAAATCTGTATCAGTCTGTATCAGATCCGTTGCAGCCCCGTTTTTAGAGATTTGGGTATGGAGGAAAAGAGAGAGGGTTGTGTTTTCTGACACTTGGTGAGTTCCCTGACACACCGGAGACACATTCATGTATAAAAGACGTACAAAAGTGCATTTTGCATGATAGGTCCACTTTAACTTATTCATTAACACTTATTCAACAAGTGAAAATAAAACACACAACAATAGGTGTTCATTTAACTTACTTTGTCCATTTTTGTCTGTATATTTCTCCCAAATTCACCAATAACATTAAATAATGCCTTGTGTACTCCTATCAATGCTATTTATTAATATAATAAAAATGATAACCAACTTAATGTATTTATCCCAGGGGAAATTTGGTTGTGTGACAATTGCTTGGATTTTGAATTGTATAAATAAAAGATAAATAATAATAATAATAATAGAATAATTCATATTTACCCCATATTCACCAAGTGTGTCTCCCCTAACAGAACAGAACCACCAGTTTCATCATGTGTGATTATTTGGTTTGTGTCTTTGACCCTGAGTGACGGACGGTTTAGTGGAGCTGTGTGAGGAGCAGCCGCGAGGAGACGAGCGACTAATAGTCTGATATTCAGACTCTTATAATGGTGGGCCGATCCCCCTGCTGCTCTTTAGACTATTTATACTGCGTCAGAGAGGCGACTAAATGGATTTGTGATGCATTTGACAACACAAAGATACACACATATGTTCTGTCACACACACACTCAGAAAGAAAACCCCCAAACCAAAATAACCTCTTCAATCCACACTACTAGACACACCGCAGCCCCCCCTTCTCCGAGCAGCATACCATGATCAAACCCAAATTCCCTACATTTACAATTATACATTTTTTTATCAAATGATCCACAACTTTTTAAGGAAGTGATATTTTTAGGTAAAGGCACAATGATAATGAGCTTCAATGTTATGCTCACAATTATGAAAAGAATATATAGCCTGACAATAATATTGTGTGTAATGTGCTGTCAATGTTGTTCTCTATCTATAGTGAAATATAAAGAGAAACCAAAAACGAATTATGAACATATTTATTTTCAAAAAATCAAAACATAAGTGGTTATATCTGAATTAAAAATGTCTTGTTTCTTTTTCCTTATGGAACATAGCACAGACACTAATTTTTAGACCCTAAACTCAAATTGTAATTAGCGCAACTTCAAAATATGGAGGGAATTACCTACAAAAGAACACTAAAAGTAACACTTTAATATAAACTGTGGCTAATTTCCAAATAAAACAGGTTAAAACCTGACATACTATTTTTGAAGTCACCACAAGTTTAATCAGTACTATAATATATTATTGAATAATAATACAGGGATGAACAAACACAGTTACACACACACACACACACACACACACACACACACACACACACACACACACACACACACACACACACACACACACACACACACACACACACACTCAGGCACATTAAGGTCAGTAGGCTGTAAGCTGAGAAGTCTTTGTAGACGCTCACATAGTTTTGCAGCATGGCTCTCATTTTAGAAAGACATAACCAGAAACTCACTGTGACCTGGTGAATGGACCTCAAGAGAACACACACACCAGACACACGTTGACATACACACCATGACACACATGTGTCCCCCTGAAAGATGAATTGGTGTCCACTGTCTGCTATTTCGGGTGGAGGGTATTCTTCTTCTTCTTCTTTCAAGAGTGCGGCTGTTGTAGCATGTGGCGTGTGACTAAGCCCTCAGTGGGCACAGAGAAAAAGAGGAGAGCATTTATACTGGGGTGCAGGGGCCATGTCCACACCACTTTTGGAACCACTTTGCACTAGGATCAATTGTTAAACATGTTCTGAAAATAGCATGCATAAAGAATTTTCTTTGACACACTTTTGTACTTCTGGTATTATTTTGGACCTGTGGCACGTTTAATATTAGTCACAATTGAATAGAGAATAGTAAAGCAATTGTGGCTCCCGCTTTGCAGCAGCTTAGCAGTTACTGCACTAGTTGTAACAAAAGTATTTGGAAAAGTGTTTTTTGAAATCTGAAAAAAGTCTCCCCACCACTTTT